GGAAAGAGGGGGCAAGTGGCCTCGCACGGAAACCAAAGGCAAGGGACCCTCACACGGTGGTTGCGGCTCCGGATGGAGGGGAAACAAGAGACAGTGGGAGAAGGACCACGAGGAAGCGGAGGGGGCCCACCTCGACAAGGCGACCCAAGCGGTCCTACAGTCTCTTGTGCAGCTGTCGTTGAGGCACGAAGCGGAGCTGGGACGATTGCGGTCGGACTGCGGCTTCATGCTGTTCCTGGACACCCCCACGACCAACCCGGAGGCCGGCATCCTGCCCGGAGTCAAGAAGGTAGCCCAAGAGTGGGCCACCCAGTATGCAGCAGGAAACGTAAAGAGCCCCCTGCGCACCCTGCTGATGATGGCGGTGATCCGGGAGCTACAGAGCCGCCTAACGGCCTTCCTAGCGGACGAGAACCGCTGCACCAAAGCCATGACGATCGGCTGGATGGCCGAGGGGCACCAAGCGATGGACCCAGTATGGACATACTGGGGTTGGAACCCCAAGGAGAAGAAGCAGGAGAAGACGGACCAGCACCCGCTGCAGACCACAGCCATCCAGGCTCAGCTTGCTCTGCTGAAGCGAACATCGCGAAGGAGGGGGTGCTGCTGAACTTCCGCTGCACCAGGAATTCCAGCCGGATCTAGAAGTGGTACCCTTCATGCTGACGATCGGCCTACGCGTGCAGGAGGCCCATGCAGTTCACCGGGCCTTCCAGCCCCTCTCAGGGAACGCAGTCTGCAAGCTCATCGGAGCACGGGTGAGACCGGAGAGGCTGGCACGCCAGCCGGTAGCCAAGCAGCTCGAGGAGAACTACTTGGCCACGCCGTACTGCCCATGGAGTCGCCGCGCAGCCCGCTGAGATCACCTCCTGGCCTGGGTCGGCCAGAGGGGGCAGCCGGGTCAGTGGGAGCCCGGCTACATCTCAGCGGGGGGCCCAACAAGCCCTCATTGCCAGTTGCCAAACTCCTAAATACCCGTAACTACTGTTATGCCAACTCGACTGCTCAGGCCCTTTACTGGATGGGTGCTATGTCCAGCAATCCTGAGGACGCCTACGGAGGCGCAAGGGTCAGCCTTCAGATGCTCGCCAAGCCGGGTAAGCTGAATCTTGTTCACAGCATCGCATGGTCCCATGCACTCATGACCTGGCCGAATCCATTACAGCAGCACGACGCAGGCGAGTATGTCAATCATGTTTTGACACTCTTCCAGCCCAGCGCTTACCGAGGGGAATGGCAGGCAAGGCACCCCGAGGCTCCCCACCGTTTAAGTGACTCAGGTCAACTGACAGCTCCGCTGCTGATACACCTCACAGGAGCAACGTTGCCGGATTTGATCGCGAGCTGGCACAACCAGTATGCAACACACGCATTGCACTGGCACTCCGGACTGCTGCTGCTTAGACTAGCGCGCTATGGTTTTGACCAGGGTGAGGCCTATAAGAATCAAGCACCGGTGTATGTGCAACCAGGAGAAACGGTGGCGATGCCTGTGTATGAGGGGGCTGAGGGACTGAGTGTCCGCCATGAGGCCTTTCGAGTTGTATTCCAAATCTTCCACATAGGGGAGAGGGTCGATTCGGGTCACTATCAGTGTGCGATTAGTGTTCCGGACGGTAACATGCAATCCCGGCAACGCTACTACATCTGTAATGATAACACGACCCCTAGGCGCGCCACCCCCAGAGACCTTACTCAAGTAGCTACCAATAGCTACTTGATAGGCCTCATTCGTTCCAATTAGATAACAGCGTGGCCTGCCTGGCACAGTACTGTACAGTTGATGTAGCATGGTTGCTGCTGGGTGTTGCATCCAAACCAGGCAGGTCGAGTCACAGCAGGGCTCCCAAGGCCGGCATCCGATGTGATGTTACGCCCGGCGACGAGACGGGAGCCAGCAAAAGGTTCTGCAAGCACAGTATTTTTGTTTCATCTTTGTCCGTATTGCACATCATCAGCTTGGCCAGACTCCATTAAGGGACATGCCAGAGTTGATTTGTTACTTCGAGCGGGAGTTAGCCCGCTCCCAAGTGTCCGCGCTCTCAACAGGAAGCGCCTCATATCGACCGGGCACACTGCAGCTGTCCTCTGGTCCAAGCCGCGACCCATTCAAGTGAGTCGCTGCAATCATTGCAACCGCCGACAGGTGCCGGGAGTGCGGGTTTAAGGGCCTGAGTATTTCCCCACCCTACATTTTTCCGCTGGTAGCCGGTCAGTCTTTGCCGCCGCATGTATCACCCTGCCGCTGCCCTTAGTCATGCAGTAGCATGCGCAACATGGCGCAGATCCTGCCATATCCGTATGACATATACACGGATGCATTGGAAGAGTTTTTGTTGCTGCACGCTGCAGCTAGCCTGCTGAGGGGGCAAGGGAATACGCAAATCCCTCTGGACATGGGACTGGCAGTCAGGAATGACATCATTGCATGGGCAATGCAAGCTTTGGAGCCAGCTAATCAGGCTGCCTATATGGCCTATGTCCAGGACCTGAATCGCCATCTGCGCCGTTATCTGCCTACGTATCTGCCTGAGCCAATCGGAACACCAGGTCCATGCAGCCCAGCGGCGGAACACCTAGCATGGCATCTCCTGGCCGAGGGCAGTTCTACGCTATGGGGCGCAGTGAGGCAAGCAGTTGCGCTGCTGGAATGGCAAGCAGACAAGCACTCTTTCAGTGGCAAACAGCCTGCCAATGTGACTATGGGAGCTTTTGGCCATGGGCCGCACTGTGGAATCCGCAGTGGCACAACACAGCATCCCTCTTTCTGCAGACTGGTGAATCGATTTATTCAGCATCTATGTCCCAAACATGTCTGGGCTACATTTGCGCTGAATCGAGACCTGCGAACCCCACCGCACAGGGATCAGGGGAACGCGCCGACAGGGAGCCTCCTCACCTGTTTGACACACAACGAAGGAGGTGAGCTGTGGCTTGAAGAAGGGAATGGCTCAGATGCGACAGCGGAAGCAGATGTCCGCTGTGGGAGTATCATCCGGCTGTCGATGCAAAGCCTGCTTTTCCCTGCGCATAGCATGATGCATTGCACGTGTGACTGGACTCTGACGAGACGGGTCACGCTTTCAGCATTCTGCGTCGGCAAGGTTAAGCATCTGAAAGCAGCTGACGTGCAACTGCTTGAGGATTATGGTTTTTGCCCTTTCGACCATAGCAGCGCCTCGAACTGAAGCCTGAGAGCACAGGGAAACGCCGGTTCCTCTAATTGGGGTTAGGCCTTCTTCCCTTTCCCTCAGGGTAAGCTTCTTACCTAGGTGGCCGCTGCAGTGCTAACATCTTCAGCTTGCATCCCAGCATGAGTCGACATGGACTAAAAGGGTGTTGGCCGGCCGGAATGCACCCTGCTGACTGCTAGCACCTGTACGCTCCCCCCGCACTATAAGTTCAATACCTTACGCGGCCTGACGCAGGTGCTCTTATGGCGGCGATGCTGGATCGCTCCAATGGAGGCAATGAAGGGGCCAGGCAGCAAGTTTGTGCCGTGCCGGGGTGTGGTAGGGCTATACACACGGCAGGGCATTCCAAATGCTGCTCGGCATGTCCCACTGGCTTTCACACACGGAGATGTCAGCATACCCACTGGGCGGAGGCTAGGCCGGGTTTCAGCCGGTGCGCAAAGGAGGGCTGCGCGCACCAGGCTGGCCCAGGACACATCAGCTGCTGCTCCTCGTGCAAGCATTCGGGAGGGCAACTTCATACTGTACGATGTGCTCGGAGGCAGGCGAGAGAGGTGCAGCGAGCACCTACCACTTTCCCTACCGGGGCACAGGAAGTTACAGCAGGTATTGCTCTGCCAGCTACAGCGCAATCCGGAAGCAGCATGGATGGACGTTATCAACAGAGTGATGCTGGCATGGCAAGAGGTTCAGACGCTGCTATGGCTACCATCACGGATGGCAGTGAGCAGCAAGGAAGACCTTCGGAATCCAGCATGATCACTATCTCTCGCAAGAGGGATGGTGAACACCTGGATTTTGATATGCTGGATTGAACGTCAGCTGCAGACCGGACGAGTGAAGTCGGCAATTTTGTTGAGGAAACCATGGACCAGCTCGGAGAGATATCTTGATGTGCAATCAGCTTTATAGGTAGAAGTCATGCCACAAGGATCCTCAATCGCAGGATGCAGCCATCTGAGCTGCCGGGCAATGCCTGCCTTTCGTCGAATCATCGGATCGGTGAGACGGTTGCAATACCACTACTACCACCACTACTACTATTACTACTACTACTACTACTAC